TAGAGGTTAGAGATACAGCTCAGTGCAAAGGCCCTGGGTCGATCCTCTGTATCACAAAAAGAGACAAGGGTAGGGGAAGAGGAGGGGACAGGAGGTAAGAAGGTGACAGGGGGAATGGGAGGGGAAGAAGGAAAGTGAGAGAAGACATTGTAGGAGAGGATAGCTCAGGACAGGAGAGGGCAGAAAACAACAAAGAGAACAAGAAAGACAACACTTAATCTTATTCTTTAATTTTACATATTAATTTTGCTTCCCAAATATGTAATTCTTTAAAGGTAAGAATTCTACTTAAATTTTTAATGGTCTGTAATATAAAGATGACTATTGTAGAGCCTCAATAAATCCTGTTGGCAATTTAATAACAACAGTGAGACTTGAAAGTACTTAAATATTAAATGAGAAAGAATCTGCTTGAAGTCTTTTCTCAGGCTCTGTGGCTTGTAAACCCTTTGGTTTTTGGGAAACAAGTTTCTCTACAGTCCCTCACTACTCTGGCTGCTCTATTTCTTTTGCTGGTTTGATTTCCTCTCGTTCCCTAATTAAAAAAAAAAAAAAAAAAAAAGTATCTCTGGCTCTTAGTTCTCCTAAGATATTTACCTCCCTGCATGAGGTATCAAATTAGATGGCTTTGATACCTCTTTGGTTATCTCTTCCAAAATTTTCAACGCCAACCTTTTGCTCTGGTTTCATATTTCCAATAAAATCATCGGTCACTTCACATTCAAACTAAATTTTTTCTCATGATTCTAAATTTCTTTACTGGTTATTCAAAACTGTGCACCTCAGCCTTCTAATACTAATCCTCTCTGGTCTTCGTGTTTTCATTTATAGCCCACTGCCAGGCTAATCCCTCCTTAAGTCTAATTTAAATACGGCACTTTCCAGACATAAAACTATTTATAGTATCACAGAATAATGCATCAATACTTTAGTGTAACATTCAAAATGATTTTCCACCATGAACCATTTGTCCTCGTGGGCCCACCTCCTCACTACCATGAAGATGCCCCATTTAATCTTAGTTTATCTAATTCCCCTTTTCTGATTGCACTTTACCTTTAACTTAAACACATTTTATATGTCCTTTTAGGTCTACATAAAATTGCAACTTCTGTGCAAAAAATTTCTTAACTATTTCAGTTTACATTGATGCCTATGCTTTCTCTAGCTTCTATTTGGTTTCATACAACTAAACACTCAGTGTTTTAATGATTTCATGTGTTTATTTTCTTTGGCTAGGTTATGCTGGGACTCAGCTTACACCGTACATCTCCTTGGTGAATTTCAGAGTGCCTTCTACAAGGGCGGCAGGCAATAAATATGGTGTGATGGATTTTACATACATAGTATTCTATTACTAATAGTTGTAACTAAACATAATGGCTTCTCTCTTATTATTTTATGAGGGAAACCAAATTGATTTTCACATAATTTGATAACAAGCAAGGTCAGGTTCTCCAAATAAAGATGTGGTATTCAAAGGAATTCCATTAAGCCACAATTTATCTATGACAGACTTGGAAAATAATTTGTATTTTTTATAAAGCCTGTAAAGGAACTCATTACAGGAATTCAACGGGGACACTCTCTTGCCTTGGCATTTTAAGACTGTACCTAGAAATACAGAATTGATATAGGCAGAAACCAGAATACAGTTGAATATGCTACGTACTTTCATAGCTAAATGTATGTACGAGTCAAATAATTTAATCTATGATCAATATGTGTGAAGTTACATCTGTGCTTAATGAAAATATTGTTTTAAACTAATTTAGGCAGCAGTCTGTAAACATGAGGATGACTTAAAGCACAATACTTGATAAAGAATTTTAAAATTCCACCAAAGTGTTCAACTTTAGTAGTATTTTAACAATGAAACTATTTTTCCTTTAGAAAAGTTTATAAAACAGTTTAATTCAAGGCAGGAAATTATTAAATACTTTCTATTCATTAAATGATTCTAGAAAATAAAAAACAATGAACAGTATATGTAATAGGAGGTAAAACTGAACTCTAAGTTATATCTCACATTTTTAATGCATCTCAAACTAAGAACAGGTGTAGCATAAAAACCTCAAAAGATAATTTTTACACAAAATTACATTATTAATAAACTATAATTTTTAAACTTCTGAATTTACAAGTAGAGGGAGTACTTTTAAAATGATATAATTTTTTATTAGTACATAATTTTTAGGTCATTAGTTTGACAACACTAAGTTTGGTGATGATGACAACCTTTATATCTCATTATTTGATATAGGGAAAGACCTGAGCTCAGATTGCATCCTGCAAAATCCTTTCTTTTGCTGTAGCCACTTCACTGATGTCTAAACAATTGGATATTTAAAGACTTCTTAAAAACAAAACATAACCAAAATAAATACCTTAAATCTGAAATTTATCATTTCTTTAGGGTAAGATTTGTAATACCAGAGAAGTGGCCTAATTCAAAGTCAAGACTAAGAGTTCGAATTCCTACAAATGCTCAGGAATTTTTCACTTGATTTCCAAGAGTTATAAAACATTTTGCAGTCAAGTGTTGCCATGTTAGAACTAAACAGGGAAATTACTGCCTAGGGAAATCACTAATAGAATTTGAGCTGTGTTATCTTTGGAACTACTTCTTTCAATGGGTGCACAAAGGAGGCCCCCCAGAGATTCTAATGAGATGGGCTATTTTACAAGTACAATTTAATAAAATTTAATACAAATTTAAATTAAATGGCTAAGGGATTCTTTTCTTAAAAATCTAGCTGAAGTATCAAATTTTTAACTTATTCTAATAGTAGAGTCTTTTTTTTTTAATATTATAGTTCTTCAGGAATAGAACACTCACACATTTCTAAAAGATTTAGCTAACAGACCTGTCTAGAAATTAAAGAAATAGAAGAATACTATTAGAGGTCTTTCAAAGGCCCTAAAGATCTAAGGATTGACCTGGATCAGAGGCAGAAGTAATCTTGTTACAATATATTACATAAGGAATATGCTGGGAATAAAAGGTCTATTTTAGGAATATCTTATCCATTATAGAAATAAAGCACAAGCTGGACATTGCGGTTTATGCTGATAATCTCAGAACTCTGGGAAGCTGAGGTAGAAGGATCAAAAGTTAGAGCCTAGCCTGGGCATGCTAGTAATTTAGCAAGACTTTGCCTCAAAATAAAAAAATAAAAAAGGACTGGGTATGTAGCTCAGTGTGAAGGCTCTGGGTTCAATCCCCATTATGAAGGAAAGAAGGAAGAAAGAGAGTGGAGGAGGAAGAGAGGAAGGGAGAAGAGGAGGCGGGGAGGGAAGAAGAGGAGGGTAGGGAAAATGGGAGGGAAGGAGGGAGGGAGGAAAGAAGGAAAGTAGGTTTACCAAACTAAATAACCAACATTTTCAGACTGTTGTAAATTTGAAAATTTCTTTTCTTGGTTGAATTAATTCAATAGGGGTTTCTTTTCTAACAACCCCTCACCTAGATAAACCCACAAACTTAGTTTTAAAAGGCAATGAAGTCTATCTAAAAAAGGTTCTCTATTAGGGTGCTCCACTACATATTTTAAGATACCTGACATGTTCCAACTTACCCTGCCTGATGGTAAGGGTGGAGGCTATGAGACACACCTCTTACTATAGCTAGTAGGCTTGCCCTCCAGTCAAATCATTTTAAGCCTATTTTTAAGGTGAGTAATGGCATCAAGAACTACAATTTGAGGTGTACTACGTTTGAAACTCTCTAGAGCACATTTTGTATTCGTTTTAAATTTTGATTAAAACTCTTTTATGCAAACAATTTATTGTTGTAAAACTAGCATATCACTTTAAATAGTATCCTAAGGTAAATTTAAAAGTGTTATTGTTCTAAAAATATTCACTTAGCTTTGTAAACAGTCTCAAAAGTAAGAAATTATGCCAACTGAGGAGATAACTAAACAGCTACCCCCGTGAATAAAGGTGAACTGGTTTAGACCAAAAAAATAAATAAGAGTAAAAGCCACAACTCATTAAAATGATAATCTACATTAAAAAAGATTAAGATATGTTTGTAATTACTATGTTTTTTAGATTTATGGATAGAATCATGGGCTTAAATTTAAAACAAAAATGTTTATAACATAAATCACATGAGAAACCAAAACTTAAAGGAAACAGAATATTTGATTCCATAAATAATTATTATTAATGATGTAATGTTAATTTATGGAATGTCAATAATTATTCTTTTCATCACAAGCAAGTAACTCTTCTCTAGGCAATGGTATTTTTAAAGGTTATCAGCAAAAGTAAGGTATTTGTCCATTATTTTGTGATCAATGTATGCTAATTACTGTGTCCTGATTATGTTCTATATCTAGCCCAATTTCATATTTAGATCATCTTTTGTAGGTTATAATTGAGCTGTACATAGAATATTCTGCAATGAAAACAAACTGTATCTTCACTGTCCAATATGACAATGTGTCTACTGATCACCTAAAATGCTGGTAGTGCAAATGAGAAACTGAATTTTAAGTTTATTTCTTAACAACATACAACTAGTGGATACCATATTAAACAGAACAGCTTAGGGGGTTCAAACCCTAAGACAAAAATAAAATGTCTTGTTATATTAGGTCTCTAATGTGCCTGTTGATTTCCATGAACATCATATTCACAAATACTTATGAAGAATGGTATACTGAAAAACATTTTGTTCTGTAACAACTTCACTCAAAAATATGGAGAAAACACCTAATGCAACATTCAGACAGATCCAAACAAAAATGATATCTGAAAAAAGATTTTATTAGTGTTTATACTATGTCAGCATAACCACACTGACTAATGAGGTAACCTGGTGGCCTACATCAGTCTGTCTAAAGTGAGTTCTAGTACGACTAGAATTCAAACTATGAAATATTCATTTCTAAAAAGTTTTTGTTCACCACCTATCATAACACAAGAATACCAATTACTACATAGTTTTTAGCTCCACTGTTGAAACAATGCAAAAGCTTGTCGAACCATTTTACCTGACAGACATATTTGTTCTTCCATTTGCTCAGCACACATTGACTGTTTTGCATCAGTTCCTAAAGAATAACAGAAGAAGAGAGAGTGCAGTTGGCTATACACATTGTGATTATCAGTTAAAGTGCTTCTGATTCAACAGAAAAAAAAAAATCAACATGCCATACAAAGATGCAACTGTTTTAGAACTTTGCACTGGACAAAAGCAAAGCTATCATCACCATGAGAGTTGATCCTTTATGAAAATTAAAGTTGTTGAAAGATGTTTTAAAACAGATTTGTTTGTTACCATTTTTGAAATTTTCTGAAAGATACCTCGAACTCCTTGAGTGAGTCTCGAAGTTTTTCTGGGCGTCTATTTTTAAGCGTCCAAGGATAATCTCGTGCTGGCAAATAAAACATGTACTAGTTAGTTAAACATGATTTTAAAAAGAAAACTGTGTATCAGTGTGCCTTAGGAAGATTAAAATAAAACACCTCCATAATTGAGAGGAAGTGGGCTTCATTTCTATCATCAAATGACAGCCTTTTAAAAGGCTTTGTCATAGGAACAGGATTTTTACCACAAAATAATCTACCTGATGAAAATTTTATGATGACAACCAACAAGGCTTAAAGAATCTCTGGGAAACTGCTAGGACTGTGAATCTAGTAGTACTTAAAATAGTTACTGACCCATTCTTTACCACTGAAAACTTTTTCATGTAAGTAACTGAATCCTCAATCCAAAAAAGAATTCTCTATGTTGCCCCACTCAGATTTGGAAATTCTCATGAGTAAATAAATACAGTGAGAAAAAAAAAAATATATATATATATGAAATGTGATTAAAGTATCATGTAAAAACTGGAAAAGTCAGGGAATCCAAATTTTAACCAATTTGGCACTAATAACATTCTTTAATATCCTCTTTAAAATCTATACCATGATTCAGTAATGAAATACCCATATTTTGTTTTAAATAAATTTAATTGAAGATGAAAGTATTTAGTAGTGTCATGTTTCCCTTAAAAGAAAGTAAAACTAGTTCTGTTCTTAAAACATTAATTAAGTTGGGTTACAGGTTTAGCTCGGTGGTAGAACAATGTGTTTAAAATGTGCAAGGGCTGGGTTTGATCCCCAGCACCAAAAAAGAAAGCGGGGGAGATGTTAAACTATTATATCTATTTTGTCAGAAAAATAAATTTCATCTTTACATTCTAAATAAAAGTTGTGTATGATATTTGTGGTTTGTCTTCATCTATATATAATACACATAGTAATAAAGATTTAAATTGGAGTATAGATTTGCTATACATCATTTTTCAGCAAATTAATCTGGCTCTATGAATATAATTTTGATGTGCAGGTCATATTACAAACTTTAAAATCTGTATTGCAGCTACTAATACAGTATTTTAAAAGTTAAATGTCAGTCCAACTATTAAAACATGAGAACAAGTGAGATTTTTAGCTCTATCTATATCTCCAAATAAAACTTTAAATTATATTTAAGTTATTAAACCATGTAACATTACAGCCATATTTAATATATATAAATATAAATATAAAGATATTTATATATTTGAGACATGGATTAAATAAAATATAAACACTGATAAAATAAAAACTTCTTTTTTTAAATCTTATTTTCTTAAAATGGGTAAATATGTTAATAATTTAGGACCAGTATGAATAGTTATCATCATAATTTAAGCATAATACATGTATTTTAAATATATTAAATAAGATAAACATGTTTCATTAAGAAAGTTTATGCTCACATAAGCTTGTATCTTACCAAAATAGTGCACAGAGGCCCCAATGATATAAATTAAAAGACCTAACAAATATAATTCCTATTAATAAGTGTCTGTACCTAAACAACAGGTATTTGTACTTAACAGAAATTTGGACAGAATAACATTTCTGATTTGTACATAAATCACAATATTTTATAATGCTGAGCTTTCTAGTTTTATAATAATTCCAAAAAATTATAAAGTAAGCTTACATTCTGCTAGCTTCTGCTTTTCCTCTAAGTTACCATGCCCTGTTGCAGACACTGTCGTAGAGGCCGGATGAAAAAAAAAAAAGAAATGGAATTCATTTTTATTATAGTATCCTGTATTTTTAATATGTACACATATATTACACAATTATTGAGATTAATAAATTATGCTAAACTTTACAAAGGATAATTGAGAAAATGTCACAGTGTGAATGTTTTCATATCATACTGATATTCCCTAAATTTGCAATAAAAAGGCTTATGAGCAAAACAGGTGCACCAATATCCTGAGTTTCCGATCTCATCAGATAGGGAAAGAAACTGCAACCGAGCCCAGAAGAGAAGCTGCTGCAGTCTGTCATCAGAACCATGAAGTCAGCCTATTAACTACCAAAGTAAGCACACAGGATGCTCAAACAAGCTCCACTTCAACAGAGGCCAGATTAGGAAGTAACTCTAGCTAGGGAGACCTTTTGGCCTATCATAAAAAACTTCTGGGATTAACAGGATTAATCAGATAACGAAAATTGATCATTCACTCAGAAATGCCTATTTCAGATAATCAAGTGAGGATCCAGGAGGCCAAGATCAGTGGGAACCATGCATTAACAATGACCTCTACTGGGACACCAATAAATAAACCTGAATAGGCTGTCCTGTTATCAACCTGATCAGCAATAAAATAAAAACTTTCATGTTCTCCAACAACATTTTATCAATATTGGTTTATTTTATACAAACCAGACAGATATCAACCTCACTGTTTTTCTAAAGAACTGAAGTGAATATTCTTTAAATTCAAGAATTTATCTAAAGCTCATAAATGTTTTTAATAATATTTTGTTGCTTAGAATAGTTTATAGAAAATTAGTTGAGTAGAAAAGATACTTTACCTGGTGGATCTTTCTTGTCATAATACTGGTAGATGCCGATGTCTCTATCTATAGAAAGAGTAAAATAACATTAAATTATGGTAAAAAGTTCTGGAGAATAAGAAGCCAAACCATACTATATTGGAGGCAAGGATGGGGAGGGGAGCAGAAAGAGTCTCCTTATGTTACTAGAAATAAAATAGCTCAAAAGCATCTGGACATGGGTTCATCTATTCTAGGGATATGCAGAAACTGGAAAGTTTATCAATCTAATGAGAAAAAATTTACACAAAACTAGAATGGCATGAGGAAAAGATTAGTAAAGAACTGAAATCAAGGAAGACCAAGTTTTCTCTTTCACACTTCTTCTGATATTTTTCACAGGGTGCTACCAAAAGGAACTGCCACTAAGCAATGCCAAATGAAATCAGTGGATGGAAGAAAATGCCCTAGCTGTTGGATTCGGAGCTGTGGCTTGCTTTTCTCCAATTTAGCCTAGTTCCCGTCATACAGCATTTGGGGGAAAATCTGCAGGAAAGAAAGGGAGGATTATAGAGAAGTACAAATAAATTATTATCTGAAGAAACTTGTTTAGATTCAAAAAGCTTCCAAACTCATTCAAATTCGATGCTCTGATGGGGCTTAGAAGAAAAGCTAGGCTTCCAGATGTTGACACTGATTTAATCAAGGAATCTGTTCTTGCCATTTAAATACAGGACTAGATAATAATTTTGCCTATTTTCATATTATCTATGAACAATGAAATATTTCTTTGATTGAAGGAACATTTGTTTTCTTCTTTGGAAAATAATTTTCAGTTACTACCATAAGGTGGATACAACTGTTTCTAAAGGAATGGAAGCAGTACAGACTGCCCCCTAGTGACTAACTGCTCCACGCATTTTCAAACTGATTAAAAAAAAAAGCTGCTTTAACTCTTCACGTACTGTTTTTCAATAGTCAATCATATACTTATTGAAGTTTTATTTTATTCATCATCCAATTAATTAAAATATACAATTTTAAAGAATACTGCTTTATGTCTACCAGTTAAATTGAAAATATCTACTAACCATGGATTGGGAAAAGCCATGAGGGGGGCTTGAGTACCAATAGTTTATTTCTTGACTTGGGTGGTGATTTTATAGGTGTATCTTCCTTTTGATAGTTCACAACATATTGTTATGATCTGTACACTTATCAGTACGTATACTTCAATTAAAAAATTGTTGTTTAAAGCTAAGAACCACAGGCACTATGCATGTGGCAAAAATCTTCTACTAAAAATATCCCAAGCTAGAAATGTACCATCATCCCATAGACCTAAATATTTTCTAAAACTCCAAAAAATAAATGTGAAAATCTTAAGTCTCAAAAAAGTATAAATCCTAGACATGAGTATAAGAAAATGAGAAAGATGAAAAGTATTCACTTATGATCAGAGAAGAAATGCTTCAATTAAAATTTCCATCAGGTAGCTAGGGATTTGGCTCAGTGATTCCAGTGCCTGCCTTGCAAGCCCAAGGACCCAAGTTCAATCCCTTGTACCAAAAAAAAAAATAATAATAATAATAAATA